TGTTAAATTAACCCACAAAAATTTTTCTAAGAGTGTTCCATTGAAAAAAGTCTGTTTCTTTTTTCCTCTAGACCTTTCATATAACTGATATTTGAGTAATAAAGGGGAGACAGTTTTCACTTCCAATTTATTTTCTTCGAACAAACAAATTTACAACAAATAAAGTAGATTGTAATTTGTGATCTTTTTAAAATTGTTTTCTACAATTATTTTATTGTATGCAAATTTGAGTGTATATTGATTGTAAAATAAAAACCCACAATTATATTTTCTGAAGAATTGTATAACAAGAACATTCTGCAAATCTATCCCACTTAAATATTAAATACCAGCAAATGAACAAAGAAACAAAAAATAAATAAGGAGCAAATCTGAGATGGTGTCTTTGAGCTATGCTCTTAAAAAAGAAATTCTATGACAAACAAAGAATCAAATTTGAAAGTTATTCAAAAAAATATATTCAATTTTTGAGACAATCAAGAAATAAAAAAACAGATAATCAGAAAAATTACAAAAAATCTTTAATTAATTCAATTCACCTTGAAAATATTCACAAAAAATCAAGGTATATACTTTCAAAATTGAAATAAAATTATGTCTAAAACAGGATTGTAAATTATATTTTCCATTGGAACAATAAGAAAAAAAATACCCTTTTTAAGTTTAATCACAAATTTGATGCTCTGAATAATCAATTTTATATCTTATTGTAAAACAAAAATTAAAAACAAAAAAAAACCACTTGTAATAAAAATATATAAATAATATAATGATGAATCTCTTAAACTTCACCGAACACATATAGTTTTCTGTTATGATTTATTTTAAAAATTCAAGGGATGCCTACTAACTTTAATTTGAAAAGGATTTTTTAGTAAAAATTATAATCAAAATATGTACTTCAGAAGTTATTGTTAAAAATTAAATTTTTTTTTAATGTTTAAAATATTTTTATTGAAAGTTATTAATTTTTGATCTTTTTTTTAACTGTTATAAATTTGGAAAAAAATTCAAAAAAAAAATAAGTAGTGTGAATTAATATTTTTTTTCAATTTTTGACCTATTCCTGTTGTGAATATTTTACTATTTTTTAATCACAGCCTGTGAAACTGGAATTTTTTTATTGATTATCTTTTTACACGTTTCGTAATCTTTCTGTATAGCCAGTTCCACTTTTAAGTCACAAACTGCTACGAAAAGAAAAAATCTCAAATTAAGGCACAAAATTCAGGATTCTAGTAAAATAATTTGTAATTTAAAAAATTCCAAATTTTGTGCCTTAATTTGAGATTTTTTTGTGCCTTAAATTTCGTTGAAAGTTTGTGACTTGAAAGTGAAACTGACTGTAAATATATTTTAATTTATCAGTAATCTTTAATAATTGACCCATACGAAAAAAGAATTAGATGAGTATCTTCTTAAGTGTTTAGTATGGGTTTTATACATGAGGTTTTATAAATAAAAGAACAAAAAACCACCAATAAATACATTTTATGCATAAATTATTTTTTCTATTATGATAAATATAATATATTCACAACAATTATAATCTGTGTTTTTTGAAAATATAATTTTTGCGTTTTTTTTCTTCTTGTTCCAAGGTAATATCAATTTTTCTACCGAATATTATCCAGAAAATCAAATCAATTTTGAATAAAAACGCCTTGAAGTTTTCAATAAAATTTAAATTAAGAATGTAATTAATTCGTTATTTTATATAATTTTCTTAATTTTTTTTCAATTTTTTTGGATTTTTTTATAGGTTAAAAATTAAGTATACAGTCGGTTCCACTTTTAAGGCCCAAACTTTCTACGAAATTTAAGATACAAAAAAATCTCAAATTAAGGCACAAAATTCAGATTCTAGTAAAATAAATTGTAAAAATTATTATTCCAAATTTTGTGCCTTAATTTGAGATTTTTTTGTTCCTTAAATTTGGTTGAAAATTTGTGCATTAAAAGTGAAACTGACTGTAAAAGTAAGTCTAATTTTTGATATACTACTATTTTCTAATTAAAAAAATGCAAATTTTTAGTTCACTTTCCAAACTATTATTCTAGTTTATAAATTCCAAGAAAACACCAAGATCTTAACAACATCTTTTATAAATGATATTTTTAGACAATAAATTAAATTTCTTTAGATAACTCTAAGACAAAATTTTTACTCTCTATATTTGATTGTAGCAGTTATCATTTATATACATTTTGGATAGGGAAATAAAAATTTTCATAAATTAATTGGAAAATAAAAGTAAAATTTTCAATTTGCACTTTTATTTTTATAATTGATTTATAAATAATAAAACTTTTCGAAATTAGAATCATATTTTACTTTGGGTTTATTTTTGGTTCTTTGATCGGTTAATTTATCGGTCTTCTATAACAAAAAATCAAACTTTTTTTATTTTAAAAGACCGTTTAAACTTTTATAAATACTTTATTTTAACACTCGTACTTATTTGATTAAGATCAAGTTTATCTTAGCAAAAATAAAACTGCATTTTTTTGAAATTTATTTTCAAAATTCCCTTCTGACATACAAAATTAGAGTCATTTGAAAAACAAATTGGAAAAACAAATTTTCCACTTCGTTTTCCTTTTTTTTTTTTTTGACACAAGTACTGTTTTCCAATTATGATTGTAATTGGTGATCTCCTATATACTATTTGTTGTAAAATAAATGGAAAAATATTTTCATTCAGCTTTCGAAAGTAAGATTTTTAAAATCATGTAACATTTCAATTTAGTAATTCCAAAAAGAAGCTTACAATTTGGTCTAAAATAATAACAACAAAATTTTCATTCAGCATTCCAAGAAAAATAGGTTTTTTAAATCATGTAACATTTCAATTTTTTATTTCAAAAAATCAGTTTAAATTATTAATTTAACTTTTAGAATTAAGGTCTTTGATAATTTGTTTTAATTATTGAGAGATGATAGATTTTTTTGGAAATCTGAATGAAAATTTTGATCTTTTTATTTTACAATTAACAGTATTGTTTGGTACTTTTGGGGCTTAGCTTCTTTATGATATATATTGGATAAACTCAGAATCCAAAATCAAACTATGATTTCAGAATCGCAAAAAAGGAAATTGGATGACTTTTTAAATACTTTTAATTTTAAATACAATCAAAGGAACACTTTTTTTCCAAAATTTTTCGAGGTTTGAACTGAAAAAAATAAATTTATAATGAGTAAATCATCAACAAAAAAAGGGTATTTGAAATTAATGAATATCTGTAATATTGGTTGTCAAATAAAGGGAACAAAATTTTGATTGAGCTTTCCAAAAACAGATAAATAAGTGAACTTTTCAAATATTGAATTTCTTAAAAGAAACTTAAATTAATAAAATTGCATTTTTTAGAAATTCCAGGCTTTTGATGAGATATTTTAAAAATTTAAGAAGTGTTTTTTTTTTTTTTTTTTTGGAGAGCTAAATCTAAATTTTGATTTTTTTATTTTTCAATTACCACTATAAATTTTGATTGGAAATTTGTATTAAAAAGAAATTTATAAAATAATTTCAATGTTGGTTTACTAAAAAAAAATAATAAATAAATAAATAAAAGCTTTGTTTGATTTTTGGAAATTTTTATAACTTTAGGTGCGATTATATTCAAAACAGGGAGATTTTAATATTCGTTTTCAAAATAATTTTTAGGTTTAAAGTGGTCATTGAATATAATAGATACATCAACCTCAATATGATAAAATCAGAATAAACATTTGGGAAAAAAAATGATAAACACGGTTTTTAATTATGAAACATTACTGATAATGAAAAGTAAGATCACTGTTGAGAGAAAAATGTTGGACACAGAAAAATGGTTGGTAACTATTTTTAATAGGGAACATTAGTCAAATTGAAAATCAAATCCTATTGATAACGTGGTGACTTTTATATAAATCTAGGCTTAAAAGTGTTAAAAGTTCATCAATCTTGGGTATTTGTAGAATACCCATTTGAAAGGTTGATAACTAAATTAGATCATGCTATTTTAACAAAAATCCAAGTTGTAGGAAAATATACTATTAAATCTGAAAATGGTAATTATTAAATTTGCTTTAGACTCTAAGAGATAAGGTTTTGAAAAAGTAGAATTACATTAATCGTTATAGTAATAAGTAGATTATAGTTATTTTCTTTAGTTATTTCACAAACGATTGAAATTAAAAATCATTTTCAGTAATGTTCGCAATTAAAAGTGCTGTCCAACTATTTTTCTCTCTACAGTCAATTAATAAAAGAAAAAATTGATGATTTAAAGACAAAATGGAGGACTAAGAACAATAATTTTTTTTTCATACTGCCTTTTGGTTAAAATTTTATTTGATTGATCTATCATTAAAAATTAGTTGAAAAAATTCGACTATTTTTCAGATCTCCAAAACCTTTCATGGACTTTTAATAATCAAGAAGATTTTAATTGTTTCTGTTGACTTAATTGGAAACAATATGACAAATTATTCCTTGTGGTTAATTTGTTTCTTCTATTAATTGTTCTTACTTTTTGTTTTCAGGCTATGTTACCAATTAAAAATTGAGTTGATCTTTTTTTCCTGAAGCGTAAGATGTGTATTGATTTTTTTTAGTCTTACCTCTTGGACGTTATTCTAATTTTTTGATCAAGGGGTTGCAATTTTGAGTGTTGTGTAAAAAACTAAAAAAAATAAAAATTTTTGTTTTGTTTTTCAAAAAAAGCAAATTTGAAATAAATAAAAATTTTTGAATTGAAAAAATAATACAACTTTAAACACAAATTATAAGAGTACCTAATTAGAGTAAATTATTTCTATGTCGTAATTGTCCGTTAAGAAAGTTTTTGGTCAAAATGATTAAGTGAAAAATTTTTTCTTTTTCAATTTTTTAAATGATCTTAAATCAACACATATCTTCAAAAAAAAAACTTAAATCGTTCTTATTTTACGTTTTTTGAAGAGTTTATCATCTGAAGTTTATCGAGAGTAGGTTAAAAAAAAAAAAGAAGTACTTCCGATCGGGGAATTGAACCCCGGCCACCTGAGTGACAGTCAGGCATTCTACCTCTATACGAAAACAAATTCATAGACATTAATCAAATCTTTTCAGTGGAAAAAATTATCAATCAAATTAAATTGATGAAAGAAAAAGCAGTATTGGACTTTGATAAAATTTATCATTACAAAAATACAAGCAATATTATAACGGAGGAATATTTGTCATTCATACAGACAATTAAAATGATATTTGATCGGTGGCTCAATAATTTTGACCTACCGATACTCAATTTTATCAAAAAAAGATATATTACATTCATTCACAAAAAGGGTGACGAAGGAAATATTTCTAATTACAGACCAATCTCAATTAATAGTTCACTTGCTCGAATTTTCTTAAAATTAATTAACATTGAATTGAGCTATATATGGAGATTTATCGATAAGAAACAATTTGGATACCGGCCCAAATACGGAACAATTATCCCAGTTATCTACTTTATTAAAAAAATTTAAAAAATATACAAACAAATTCAAAAGAGATCCAAACAAAAAAGGTCTTCATTGTAACGATTGATATTATGAAATGTTTTGATGCTGTACCCCATATACTGATTAGAAAATGTTCGAAGCTATTTATTAAAAAATAAAATACTACTCAATTTTATTTTCAACTTTTACCTCGGTAGCGGTCATGGTATTTATCAAGGAGACCCACTATCTCCTATTATATTCGCGATCGTATCACATTTCCTTATCAACGAAATACGGAAATTTGCAGAACATACACAAATGTACGCTGATGACTTGATATTAATTATGATCGGTGACATAAATGATATCAATTCAAGACTAGAAAAAATATTCCAGGTTATCAAGAACTTTGGAATGAATCCAAATGACTCAAAAACATTAAAGAAGCTCAAATTGAAAGAAATTTTGTATTTAGGGATCATTCTTGAAAAGAAAGCACACCTAAAACAAAACGAATTAAAGGCTTTGGAAACATACAATAGATATTCGAGATTCTTCAACTCATATGCTATCTCGAATAAACTAAAACTATTATTCTTTAAGGCAATTATTCTATCTCAACTTACATATGGACTCGAAGTTTTTACATTCAATAAAGATGAAATAAAAAGTTTAAACAGTTGGATTATGAGTAAAGTTAAATTTTTCCTTAAAGTTCAATTTGGATCTCCTTCTAAAGTAGTCAGATTTGAGGCGAAAATTGAAGATATTGCCATAACATTGAATAAAAGAAAATGGAAACTGATCCAAAAATTAAAAAAATTAAAATTGGAAAAACTTTTAACCGAGATTAAATTCATCAAAACCAATGATATAAATTGGCTCGTAGGAAATTACAATCAATTGAAAAAAGAAATATCAAAAAATAGAATAAAAGAACTACTATCTGTTGATGAGAGTGATCCACATAAGAACTGGAAAACAAGAAAATATTTTAATATAATCACAAAACAATATATTATTCAAAAAAACAACCTAAATTTATGGAAAACTCAACATTATCTAAGCTTCAAAAACTCTTACATTTTACTCAAATTCCGACTTTTCTCAAACTGTTTGAATAGATACTCATACGTATTCAACAAGGAAAAGACAAAAGAATGTATTTTTTGCGGTGAAATCGAAGATATTGATCATTTTCTCTGGAAATGTAATAAATACAAGGAATCCAGAGATAAATGGCTATCCAAGCAAAAAGACAATCTAGAATTAAACAAAATCAAAAAAGATCAAAATTCAACCTTATTATTGGCCAAAATAAACAATCCTGAAATATATTATAATCTAGTAAAATTTATCAAAGAGTGCTTAGATATTCGGGGATCTGTAGACAAAGATGGTAACTAAAAATGACCTGACCATCCAATTCTTTATATTAATCTCTTTATTTTTTATTCTTTATTTTTTTCTTCTTCATTTTTTACTTCTTCATCTTTTATCTTCTCTTTTTTTATTCTTTCCTTTACTTTCACTTTTCACCTATTATATATATATATATATATATATAATTCTTCATATGAAGTTGCAAGGATATATATTTCATATATAATCCCCCTCATAAATAAAACATTCTACCTCTATACTAATCGGAAGACATTATAACCTTCATTTATGTTTTATTGAAATATTTTTTTCTTATTTTTTTAAATTTTTTTACAAACTTTTTAAAAACCTTTTAGATGATTATCTTACAAACTCTCACATAATTTCTCAAAAACAAATATTAAATTATCTACACCACAATTTTAAATCAACAAACATCAAATAATCAACTAATATTGTCTCCAATAATATTAAATCATAATAAACAATACATAGATCAATCCAATCCCTTAAACTCAAAAATCTCAAACAAAATTAAAACTCACAACATGAAAACAAATAATAACCTTAACAAAAACACAGACAACACTTTGTTCATATTATTTCATTTTTTCATTCAATAAACAAAGCCATCTGAAAAATCATTTTTAACTTAATTTTTTTTTCTGATACTTTTTGTTTTTAAATTTTTACTTTTTTTAATCTTTTTTCCTCTTCGATAAATCTCAAAAAAACAACTATAACTTAATTAAAACCAAAATATTTTTTTCCAACAACCCTAGAATAATCAAAAAAAAATAAAAAACCCATTTGGAACAACAACAAAAACAAAAAACAAAAAACAAAAAAAAAAAAAAAAAAATAATTGCTTTTGAATAATAAAACACGAAATGGAAACAATTGAGAATATTGATGAACTAAGCTATAATTTTTTCCAAACAACAAACCAAGAGGAAAGGATCAAGCTTGATGAGTTTGTCTTGGAATTATCTTCTTCGATTGAGAATTTTGAACAAAGTTTTTTAGAATTGATCGGGACCGAATCGCCATACACGCAATTGTTCACGCTGATCATTTTAAATAACATTGTTCTTAATGATTGGAACAAGTTTTCAAAAAACGAACAAACGACATTTACAAACAACTTGTTTGAATTTATTTTCACAAAGGGAGCAAGCTTGCCACATTTGGTGCTTCAAAAGACATTAATTTTATTTATCAAAATTATCAAAATTGATTGGAACGACAAAGAGGGCCTTAACGAAAATACAATTTTGGAATTAATCTATGAGAAATTTTTTATGAGCAAAGACAACAAGCAAATAATTTTGGGCATCAAAATATTTATTAATTTGATTCACGAATTTAATTTTGTTATTAGGCCACGAGAAACGTTAAATGAACACCGAACAAAGTTAATTCAATTTCGGGATTCAACTTTGTTAAACATTTATAAATTTATTATGCCATTACTCCTCATCTTGTTAAAAATTCAAAACGACAACGACAACAATAGCAACAACAACAACAACAACGACAATTATGATGAAAATTTTTTTTTAAATCTAGAGACCAATCGGTTTTTTGATTCAAAAGAAAAGTATGAACAGTTTTATGATCAAATTCTGACTTTCCAGTTCGAAATTCAAGAATATTTTTTAGAGGATAGCTTAACATTGTTATTGAAAATATTATCATTTGATTTTTCAGGGTTTGGTAACCTTGATTTAATTAATGGATCCACAGAACGATCAAGATTAAATTTAAGTTCAAGTTGGATCAAATCATTTAGGCCAATTGAATTATTGGAATTATTATTTGAATATTACTCACTGTTTTTAGAGAATGAAAAAAGATTGTGTATAATTCTGAATTGTTTATCCATTTTGGCTTCGATCAAAACAAATTTTTTCTCTCTCACTAAGAAATTTAAAACCAATACCAACAACATCAACAACATCAACAACAGCAACAACATCAACAACATCAACAAGAATTATGATGAAAAATCAGAATTCCTTTCGATGTTTTTGGTTGGCTTAACAAAAATATCTTCCAAATCATCATCGTTTTTAACTGAGCAAGTATTTCACCAATTTTGTTTTGTCAACTTCAAAATATCTTACTCCTTCACATTATTACAACTTTCAGAAACAAAAGAAATATTATTAGAATGGATTGAGCAATTATATATCCTCACAATCATTAATTTGGGCAACGAGGAATTAACCAATTCCATTTATTATTTAATCACTATTTGGGTACGCATAATCCGGCAGCTATCTTTGTCCCAGAAAAGTATATTAAATAAAGATTCTAATAATGTCACAATCGAACAAACACTGTCGAAGCATATTAACGAAATAACTTGCAACTTTATTCAAAATAAAATTCGAAACGGCTTTGATGAAGACATCCAGGTATTATCAACATTTGAAAAGAATTCCATTTTCTTAAAAGAAATGGAATCTTTTAAAGTGCTTGGCAGAGTAAACTATTTATTGACGTATTACCATTTGGCACCAATTTTTGATCGCATTTTTTTAAATTTAAAAGAAAATCCCACTGATCAGAAATTACAGCAATCATTAGGCCTGATTATAATAATGTTCGGTGAATTGTTATCAGAAACAATAATTGACGATGACGAGGAGAACGACGACGAAGATGAACAAGATAATTTTGGGATGAACAATAATAATAGAAATAATTCTCCAAATAGCATTAGTCAATTGCTGAATTATAATTATGAAAATGAAGAAAAATTTTTTAGTCAAAACAATATCCAATTCCAAAAAAAAATCCAAAACATTTCCTTCCCATCGAAAATGAACAAAGAACAAATTATCTTGGATGTCAATGTTTGTACAATTGATGCAGAGTGGACTGCCAAAATCTTTGAATTAATTACTTGGTGTTTCCACATGACCGAAGAGAGTAATGGCAATTGGAAAATACCATTTTTAGAAATGTGCTTTTTAAGATTTTTTAAAAACCTGATTGAAAATTATTTTTCACCAAAAAAAAAAAGCTTTTTAATCTTTTATTGCTCATTGCATGCGCTATTCCCCGATTTGCCTAATCAAAATTCTGTAATATTATTTTTATTTCGAAAATTACAAAAAAATTTTCAAGATTATGGTGATAATCATTTGATCATTTCAAGCACAATCAAGATTTTTTTAAATTTTATCAAATTTGAAAAAGCTGGGTTGAGATTACTTCGAA